ATTAAGTCCAATTAGTACTTAGATGGGTGACTGCTTTGGAATACCAGGTGTTATAAATTTGGATGTGCAGGCAGCATAATGGATAATGTCTTAGAATTGTTAATTGGAGAGCTGAGTTTCAATTCCAGTTTGGTTTGTTGTATTCACTTATGCCCAAATACTCTTGGGAACAGTATGAATCCACCTCTTCTCCTCCAGCTATGGGGTAATTAGTAAGACCTCTCACTAAAATCTTCCAAAAATGTACTTTTCTGTAACTTACTTTGAGGAATATTACCTGATAAGTATAATTTAACCTGATTTAAAACAAATATTATTTAAAGCTTAAAATATCGCAGAAAGGTTTTTTTTTTGTTTTTACTGACTAGAGTTGTGTTGACAGCCTGATAATCTTAAAAAGTAGAAAAAAAAAGAAATGAATATTTTGTGTGTGAATAATGAAAAAAAAAATTTTTATTTTATGCAAAGTATTAAGTCCTGAGAAAAGTTACTTGAATGGTCAGAATAGTTTTTTCAAATTTAAGAGATGGTATTGAAAGAGTTTGGGTGCTATTACAGTTTTGTACACTCTAACCTCAAAATACCATGTATATTTACTTCCCTTGCATTAAAATTTGCATTATGACATTTAAACTGAACATCTGAAAAAAAACTGTTCTCAATTGAAAAAATCAAAATAATAAAGATAAAAATATTAATCAGGATATATAAACGTGTCAGTTTGATGGCAAAAATGATATTTTGATTCTACATAAATTCTACAATGTAATCTTCTATCATGCCACAATTTGGTGGCTCATGCAGAGCTCTTATTTTTAGATTTGTATTATTGCCATATAGCCCCCATGTGATTATGCCTGAGGCTGCAAAAGTATAACACCAAACTTTTAGCTTAAACTTTAGTTTTTTTTTTTTTTTTGTTTTTTTTTCTTCTTCTTAATATCCATTAATGAATAAACTACATTCCCAATAGATGGTGTAACATAGCTTGATTATTTGTATAGAATAATCTACATGGAGTACAAGGCTAACAACATTTTGTGTAATAGATATTGTGAGTTACATTGCTAGCATACTGATAAGCTAACCTTCTTATAACAAAGATATCCATACATATTTTATTATTCGTATAAAACATCAATCAAATAACCTTAAATAAATGAGTTGTAAAATGTGTAATAGTTTTTTTCAAGAAGCACCTATTAATATCCGCATATAATAATGTCAAATTATGCTTATTTTGATATATAGTCAATCTGTTTTTAATCACCGTATCTTCACTTGTTATGAACAAATGAATTAAGGTCCTTTTCTTGAACATTAAATTAGTCTTGATTTTTAAAAAGGTATTATTGATTTAATTTAATTTTATAATGGAATTATTTTTAACTTCAGATGATATTAATTTGTCATTAGGTTTATGGTTCAACTTCAAATATAAATTTTCTGTTAGTCAAGTATTTATATTAAACCTCTTGTATTGGCCCATTCATGTGTGGCACCAAAAACTTCAATTCTTCTGAGGTCTGAAACATCTATTATGAAAGACAGACTTAATTTGAATCTTTATATTTACAGTCTTATATTTTTATAAAATTCACCTTAATCTGTATATCATTGTTAAATGTCATGTTAACCATATTTTTGTTAGTCTTTACTTTTGTAACATGTCAGATTCTTGCCTCATCTTAAAATAAAACTAGTAGGTCACCTTTTTAGTTTGTCTGATGTGTTGCATTAAGATGGTTTGGGGTTTGTTTACTTTCTATTGTTGATACTGAACATGTTTAGACACAACTTTTGGCAACTCACCAATCAGCCACACCCACTACCTACAAGTTTACCTCCTACAAACATTCCATTTATTATTTCTTTTTTTTTTTTTTTTTTTTTTTCTATTTATCTTTTCTTGCTTGTGTGTGTATATAAAAAAAAAATCTATGGTAGACATTTCTAGTTGTTAATGTAGATTCTTTTTGTAAAGCATGCTGATGAAATTTGCTCATTTGGGCTACAGAATAATGTAATAACTACAAAAATAAAATTACAGAAATATTTTAAAGTTGCAACAATTCTAAGACGTTATACTCCTATTAAAACTCTGAAACTGGAAATGACTTAAATGAAAGATTCGTCAATTGTTCCATTTTAATGGCATATCAAATCTGTCTATTATTTAATGCTGAAAAGATTTTTTTTTTTTTTTCTTTTTTTTTATTATATATAAAATCTGTGGCATGTAAACAATCCTTTGGCTTGTTGGTTTTATCACTTGCCAGTTATGCCTTTAGGATGGAATTATTTAGTGCTGTAATTTGTAGCATAGACTAACCTTTTAAATAAGCTAGGATAGTTTCTTAAAGGGTCTCTAGTCATGTCATAAAATCATTGATGTATATGGGGGCAAGGTCATTATATATTAGATAGAATGTTGCATATGCCTCCCGACATTCAGGAGGATGTTCATTATTTTGTTTTTATGAGTAAGTAATATAGATATGTCCTATTTGATTCTTAATAGGATGACTTTTCCTTCCAAGAAAGTCTGACATCATGCCATACTCCTAGAATGGGGCTTAATTTTGTAAAATTTGTTGTTTCGGTTGTAGTTACATAACTCTTGCCACTTGTTTAGAATGTATGAGTTTATTGTTGCTTTAAATAACTGTTAAGGGATTGTTTGTGTTTTTGCTTCTCATTAATATAAGTACGGATAGTGAATCTGAGAAAACTGGAGTTGTTTGGCTCATTGCCTATTTATGATGTCTAAAGTTAAGTCTGTGGTTATAGCTTCAGCACTAAAAATAGAGGATTTGTCTTTATTATGTGATCAAGAACAACTGAAGTGACTTATCAATGTTTTTTTTTTTTTTTTTTTTTTTGAACTATCAGTATAGATGTGCTTATATTTTGGGTGCTCATGTAAAATATGAATTTGTTTTATAAAGGTAGCTGAACTGGCATTAGTTTTAGAATATTTGGCAAGTTTTAGCAAAACTGTTGGTTGTTTTGTTAGCCAATGTGGGATTTGCAGTTGATTTAAGGATTAGTCTATTGGGCTTCATTAATGTTTTCCATGTAAAGACCAAAAGGTTCAATGGCTACTTTGCTTGTTTTTTCTTCTTGTTCTTAAATAAAATCTTTATATTGTGATTGGGAAATATTTGAATGCAGAATCATCTGGACAAGAATGAAATTATTAAATTAAATGCTGAAGTTGATAAGTTTGATCAATTTGTTACCTATTGACCTACTATAGCAGAAATTAAGTAGAAAACCTATTTTTGGTTTTAAAATAGGTTTCTTAACATAGCAAGGTTTTCTATCTCGGAAATATTTTGCTAAATACTTCTCGGTATGCTTGTAGTTATTTTAATATAAGATTTATTGAAATTTTAGTGTCTTCTTTTTTCCAGTCAAAAAACATTGATTTGGAAATTTTGCAAAAATCAAATACAGAAGGTCCTCTGGTGACGTTGGACTTGACATAGTGTTTCATGGTTATGGCGTCAGCTCCCATAATATAATGTGGCACTATATGAGGAAGATGGTGTTATTTCTTCACCGGCTGTATGTGATAGTGAAATGTGCTGCTACATTTACTATCTCTTGTTTTGTGTAATTTATTTATTTATTTTTTTTATTTATTTATTTTTTTTTTTTTTAACTTTTTACTTTTTTATTATGGCTCCCAAGCATAAAGTAGTCTTATGGATGCCTATGTAAATGGGTTCCGACCTACGTTGAAAATCAGGTTATGTTGTGTCTTAGGAATGGATTTCTGATGAAAGTCGAGGACCCCCTGTAATTGTTAGATTTTAATTAAATTTTCAGGACTTATTCACAAATAAATGAAATTATTTTAGAGATTTTATCCTTACCCTCAATTTTATTTCATTTCAAGAAATTAAATTTTATCCTGCTTAATGTTTATATTAAAAGCAGGACTCCTTGGAGAATTTAAATCATTAATTTCTTTTTGTAAAACAGAACCCCCAGTTACTGAAAATTTGCTCTGAATCATAAAATAAAAAATTGCAGTAAAATTAAGACATTTAATTAGAAAAGTTTTTAATTGCTCTTATAAATAAGATATGTTATGGACACAAATTGTCTTAAGAAAACACTTTTTTTTTTTTTTTTTTTTTTTGATGAATAACGAATTTTTACAAGAATTGTTATTTGTCTAAAATTTTAATTAGAATAATTTATAAAGTTTTAAATCTTTTGAATCTGTGTTACTTTGTCTTGGTTAGATGATATCGTTATTAAGTAAACCCCCTCCCCCATTTTGAAAAGAATTTTGAAATTGTTTTTGCATGTATACACATGCTGATTTTTGTAAATATGGATGTCGTTGCATTATCGGGGAAATAAGAGTGGTAACTGTAGTAAATTTAAAGCCAAAGTACATAAAATTCAATAAAATATTAAAATTTAAAGAATATTTAAGAATATTTCTTAAATTTGAAAGATTACTGGGTTATGGTTATATAAAAAAAAGGTGCTCATGTTATCTCTAGTAAATTTTACAGATATGTCTACCATAGAAAAAAAATTAGATAAGTTTCTGCTTTTCAGTCAAGCTGTCAACACCTTAAATAAACAGATACTGCCATGTTACAAAATGCATTTCTGCAATATTTTAAACTTGAAGTAATATTTGTTTCAAATCAAATTTAGTTAAGCTTTAAATCAGCCAATATTCCAAGAGAATTACATTATGAAAGATGGCTAAAAATGATGCAAAAATCTGATTTTTAGCAATTTCAAAATGAAAACTGATTTCAGTCAATTTAAATTAGTTTTGAAATACAGCAAAGTATTTTGCTTATTGAAAATATTAAATTTAATAGCTTGAAATTAAAAGTAAAATGTTTCAAGAGATTTCTAATAATTCATTGTAAATCTTGGTTATCGCTTTTCTGTGGAAGTACCTATATAATATATATTATATATAAAATGTAATTTTTTTTTTTTTTATGAACCTTAATTTTCAGCTTGAATACACCACCTGGAACCAAAATACAATTTTCTGGAACAATTCCTATAGAAAATGGATTCTTACAATTAAATGGCAGAAACACAAAATGTATTGGTGGTAGAGTAGAAAAACTTCTAGAAAATTGGGAACTCAAACGGGTATGTTTTTTGTGCATTTTATTTATTTATGTATCCATGCTATTATCTTTTTTGTTTAGACAAAATTTTAATAAAACTTGATTCTAAAACTTCTTGATGAAATCATTTAGCGTAATGATTAGCTATTTGGAAAATAAAATAACTCAAATGAATTGAAACCAGCTTATGGCAACTCTTTCTGCAACCATGACAGAATCCATTGATTATGAAAGTATTAATGTAAAACAAAAGTACACCATTACTGGATTTACTAATGAATATTTTAATATAGAATAAAGTATTTATGGATTATTTTTTTTAATTTTAAATTTCATTAAGTATAATATTGATTTATTGGCAACTATAGTAAATGTTGACTTTATAACAGTTAATTTCTGTCCTTTTCCTTTTCTTTTTCTCAAAAACAAAAAAAATCATGTTATATGCCTTATTTGAACTAGCATACTCAGGTTATATTTTGCAACTTAGAATATTGAACTAAACTTTTTATTTATTCTGCATAAATAGATTGTTGCCTTTTTTCTTTCTATGCTTAGGGGAGATAACTCATATCAATTAATACGTAACCAGTCTGATAATGAAAAATCATATGCTCAGGTTCAGTGGAATAAACAAACAAGCCAGAAGGTATAAAAACCAAAACATTGAAGACATTTTATATTTCACATCTCAAAAATCTCAACAAAAAAAATAACTTTAATAATGACTATCAAATAAAAAAAGTTTACAATATAACAGGATACATGGTTTATCTGCAAATTTTGCCATCTATTTGGGATCTTGGAATTTACCTACTGCAGATATTCTATTGTAAAAACAAGTTTTAGCATTACTTGTTTAATGCAAATGCCTTAATTCTTCTTTTTTTTTTTTTTTTTTTTTTTTTTTTTTTTTTTTGTTCCTGAACTATTCTTATAAGGAAAATAAAATATCAACATTTTTTTTTTTCTTTAGATGTTATCGAATTCCCTTTTCAATTTTTTGAAATTTTTTCAGAGATTGGCAAAGCAACACCGAGCTGGTATCATCTCTGAAGGGGGTCCACCACCATTTGTGCCTTTTGGCCAAAAAATGAATAAAGCACATGTTAGAACAGGTAAGTTCACTTTTTGTAAAATAATTTGGAAATCTAAATTCCTAGTCAACTTCAAATATACAGTTTTACAATTCCACTCAGTTTTAATTTTCAGTTTAAAATTGATCTTATGAGTCTGATGTTTCTAATTTTAAGCCTTGATCACTTCCAGAATTTAAGTTTTCATCTGTAGATTTAATACCTTTTCAGCGTTGTAGGGGCCTTATTTATTTTGTAATTTTTTTTATTTTCATTTTTTTTTTATATTCTGTATAGACATTGAGTACCATCTAATCTATAGCAGGAGCAGGAAGAAATGAACTCCTGCTTTATCTAAAACAAAAATGAAAACAAAATACAACAAACTAGGTTGGAATTTGAATTTGCTTACCATTTTCTAATACAGTTAAGGTATACAAATTTGTTCAAAAGCTTGCCCTAAAAGAATTATTTTCTTCGACAAAAGTTTGAAAAATATTAGTTCAACATACTTAGTATAATGTAAAATTGAACTTGACAGTAAAATACAAATCATTGTCACCTTCAAGGCAAAATTATGGTTCAATCTCTTAATGTCTTATAGCTATTGAGCATCTCTCTCTCTCTCTCTCTCTCTCATATTTATTTTGCACTGTTTACATTCACTTTACCCTCAATTTTAGATAACTTTAAATCTCTGGATGTTGGTAAAGAAAAGAAAGAAAGTGAGGAATTTGAAATGCAGAGAAGAGCTACAATTGCTGAAGCTGTTCAGGCAAAAGAAGAAGGAAAAGCAAAAACATTTGGTGGCAATAAACAGGTAATATATTTTATTATAGTCCCCCCCCCCACACCTCAAATTATCTTTAATACACTTGCTACCAAAATGACAGAACTTCCAACAAAATTCTTGTTACATACTGACTTTGAGAATCAAGTAAATTATCAGGGATTAAGCATCGTTACCAATTCAGAAATAAATCCATTTGGCCTTTTGATTGAGTTGATAAATTTTCAACTTCAGTGGGCAATAGTTCATCAGTTGTATTTTATATATTTTAATCATAAATCTTCATTCTATCAGTTTATACTAATGAGAATTCTTTCCATTTTTAATAGGAATTCATTGTATAATTTTTTTCTTAACTAACAAAAAAAGTTCTGTGAATTTCAAGATATTGGATTTATCATTGGAAAATCTCATATCAAAAAATGATGAAACATCTTTTTTGGTAAATGAGTGTCAGTGCATGCCTGAATTTAACACTGACTTGGTCCCTCACTAGACCAGAATTTTTTTCTACTTTATAACAATGAAATACTTCATTTTTATCTCAAAAATAGCAGTAATTGTAATATTGGTTGTTGCTACTGATTTTATGAAGTTGGTGTTGCCTGGTGTAAAAAGTTAAGGAACTTCTCCTTTCTCTACACTGTAACCAGATTCTCAAATATTTTTAGTTCAGCTTAAAATAAAAAAAACTAATTCTATAATTGAGTTAAACTCTTGATTTTTCTCAAAAGAAAATATTTAAAATTTTGTATTTTAGATCATCTATGGGCTATATAAATCACTCTACAATTAGATACTTTGTTGTTTCATTAAGAAAAATTAGTAAATACTTGCTTTTAAATTTGTTAGTAAATTTCTAAATGTACTTTCTGATTTTCAACTGTTTGCTGCCACCTCCCATTCCCAAAGAAAAACTAATAAAATTCTTTAAAATGAGAGGTTTTTTTTTTTTTTTTTTTTTTTCTTTTCTGTATAATGAATTTGCTATGTCTTTTAAATTGTCATCATGTGCTGCGTACCATTCTTGTTTTTACTATGGTGACTGAATAAAGGTTAATTTGTCATTCAAATTTTGTACTTAACAAGGAGATGTTGCAAACATCATACAAGAGAAATTTAGTTGTATGTTTAAAATGGTATCTTTTAATAAAAGATCCAGATACTCTTCAGTATAAGTTAAATTATTCAAATGAACTAAGTTTTAGAAATATTTAAAATTTTTGTTGTTTATGACACTGTTTTAAAAAATAACTTTTTGTAGGCTCTGAATGACAAAGATGTTGCACACCTTGTAGAGATGGGCTTTGGTACCGAACATGCATGTCAAGCCCTTCGTCAGAATAATGGAAATGTTAATGACGCTATTGTCTCTTTGCTTGGCAAGTCTGGAGGTTCAGGTCCAAGAGATGGAGGATCAAGAGGGAATCCCAATAATTCTACCTCCGGACAACTTAAGACTAGTGCCAAGCTGGGTGGAGAAAAGCCAGAGAAATTTCATGGTAAGTCAGTTTGCTACTGTTCTGTTCAAAGTTAGTTTTGAATTTTTTTATTTTTATTTATTTTTTTAACATTTCTGGGCATTATTATATCAAAAGTAACTACAAAGTAAAGATTAAGTATATGCATGAATAAAAAATTTTTATCATCTCTTTATTATTGTTGTGGTTATTTTTCAATAAAAATTTGATTTAAATAACTTAAGTGCAGTTCCTTGACTGCTTCTTGCTGGCATATTGTTGCTTTTTTGCTTAATTAATTTCTTTATATAGTAAAAAAAATATGATTTTTAGGTGAAGTTGTATTAAAATACTTAAAGATCTAAATGTGTTGATGACTTAATATTGAAGTGTGTCAACTTATTCTAAATATCAATGCAAGTTATACAGAATATAATTGAAGGTTCAATTTTTCTGTCTCATTTATTAAGGCCGTGAAAGAAAAGGTCGGAAGAAAAATGAAGAAAAAGAAACTGGAAATGAAGATGTTGCTCCAAGTCGTCCATCAGGTCCTGCAACATTGTTTGACTTCTTGGAAACAAAAATACCACTGAAAGATGGTTTGTTAAATTTTATTTTTTTTATTTAAAATAGCTATTAATATGCATTTGTCATTGGAAAGCTATATAAAAAAAAAAATATTTAAATTAATATTTCACTTTTGAGTTTCTTTAAATATTGCCAATATTTATTTGATATATATACTGATTACTTATTTAAAGTGGTATTTAGTTTCAGAATTTACCTAAAAACATTTAACATTTAGTTAAAATCATCCTTTTGTGATTTGGATCACTTTTACTGACTGTTCAAAATGGATTCAGACTGGCTCTAAATTATACTTAATCCTTTTGCTATCAACATCTATTGTTATACATATTCTTAGCCTAACAATCATATTAACTATAATTTGCTTTTGTCTATTTGGTTTAATATCTTTCCACTATCAAGTTTGTTGGTTCCCAACCCCATTCATCTGCATATGTACTTATACTGGAGTTTTCTTTCATGATGTAGTTGTCTATTATCATCACGCATGTTGGCATGATAGTGTATAAAATGGATTGTCATATGTTAAATGCACACGAGGAAATTAATATTGGCTTGTTTTAATAATAGGTATAAAAAGGTTTTTCATCAATTTTTACTTTCAGACACAAAATCACATAATGACCGAAAGACTTCAGATTTGAAAAAAGATGCTAACTGTGATAACAGCAAGTTAGATGTTGATGGGCGTCAAAGTTCTGATAACCGAAAAGGAGCAGGAAATAGACGTAACAATTTACCCCCACGATTGTCAGGCAAATCTAACAACAGCAGCAACAGCACTGGTCAAAACCATGGCAACAGTGGTAACTATACTAGTAATAGTTACTCTAGTGGACCTGGATATAACAATAGTGGTGATGGTGGAGGTGGCAATAACAGCAATAGTCTGCCTTTCTCTAGCAGCAACTCCCATTCTGGATATGGTGCTAACAACAGTGGACATGAGTATAGTTCCACTAACCATAACCAGCATAACAACCACCATCACCACCACCACCACCACAATCATCATCATCAACAACAACAACAACAGAATAGATATGGTGGTTGTAATTCTAGCCATACTAATTACAATAACAGCACCTCATCTGCCAACAATTGTGGAGTAATTGGTAACCACCAAAATTATAATAGTAGCCACCACCAACAAGGTTCCAGTAATTTCCATAATGCATCACCAGCAGGAGACTCTGGCCAAGGAAGTGGAACCACACATGGGCCAAATCATGTCCTTAGTAACAATACACCCAGTCATTACCTTCAGTCACAACATCGTTACAACACTAACAATAACAGCAGCACCTCAATACATAACAAACTCCCTGCCTACCAGAATTACCATGGTGATCCTAGGCAATCTGGTATGGCACATAGTACCAACATGAGGTCTCCCAGGAACTTTTCTAACAACCCAGGACAAGTACAAACAGCCCAACCCTCTAATTATTTCAATGTTAATGTTAATATCTCAGGTCAGCAATCACAGCAGCACTACACAAATGAACTCAATGCAAGATACTCTAGCTATAATCAAAAAGATATGCATCATCAGAATGCTGGCTCTGATAATCCAAACAAGATCTTGAGTAGGGATTATCATAATCATCACCAGAAACAGCAGCAGCAGCAACAGTTTTCTGCATCCATGAAACACCCCCGAAAAGTTTTGAGTAACCTGAATGTCTCTGATTCTACTGGAAATGAGAACAGGCATTTTGGTTATGATGGAGTTGGAGGTGGAGGCAGAACTGGACATAATTATAATTCTACAAGCCGTCCAAAAGGTGGGGGTGTTGAAATTGGAGGAGCAAGCCATAAGAAGCAAATTGATATGGACTCGGCTGATTATAAATATCACGACAGAAAGAATAGTCATTCACCAAATACGGTAAGAAGTTGCTGCATCTTAATTTAAAGGTCTATATTTTCATTTTACAAAAAGCACAGATTAAATCTTTGTTAAATATTACTATTTGTTGAAATTGTTGAAAATATTCACATTGGTTGTTGATAATATTGACTTTTGTTTTCTAGTTATTTGTTTTGATAAGTATGTGAAAGTTTTTGAAAAGAATTTGCTTTTTAAAATCTACTGTTTAGAAATTATGAGATTAGATTCATTTTAATCTGGCTATCAATGTTGTGAAATATGACTTTTTTAATTTTCAGTCTTTTAGACATTAAGGTTTTTGTCAGTCCAGTTTTTAATTTTAAGATACCTGAAGTAGCTATTTCTCCTCATATTTTTATACTCTAGCTTAAAAAATCAAAATCCTTTTATAATTTTCCCTTTAAAATTAAATTTAGTTTCTCTAGAGTGAAGAAAGTGAATGTTGTAATGGATATTTTTTCTTGTACATTTTATATCTATAAAATATTCTTATAGACATGTCAAACAATTCCTGCCATTTAATCTACGCTTGCTTAACATTAATCAAGTATACCACTACAGTAAATGCAGTTAAAGTTTGTATTTATGTAATCCTTTTGCCATAGGGATAATTTTAGTAGTATTTATTAAAGACTGTCTATAGTTATGATTGTTTTTTGACATTAATTTATATTGAGAATATTAAGTTCTGTTAAGCAAACATTTTTCTTTATGGTAAAATAGTTCATATTTATATTTAGGAATATATGCCTCTACTGTTTTTAAAGTATTACTAGATTAGACTATTCTTAATTAATAAAATTCTATCTGAAATATTTTTCAGATGAAATATATTAAACTTTTATTTTAAGCATGTTTTATTGAAATAAGTTGCATTAGACTCATCAATTAAATGTAACTTAATAATTCAATGTTAAGTTATTATCATTCTTAGTTGGTTTTAAAGAAGAGTTCTCAGTTCAGTAGTATATTTTTGGGGCCTATATATATATATATATATATATATATATATATATATATATATATATGGTATTTTTTGATTGAGACATGTTTCATTGAATAATTTAGACAAGTTTTGTCTACTTATTTTCAATTGGATCTTTTCATACTCACAGCCAAGCTTTTTGATGTCATTATAAAAGGGAGAAAGAAAATCTCAATTTTGATACATATTATTTTATTCAGAGTACTTATTTATTCAGAGAAGCAAAATGTCATCATGGTGTTTATTTTGAGGGAAGTATCTTAGTGTTCATCATTTTTCAAAGACAAAATTCATCTAAAAGTTAAAAAAATTTTTTACTTGTGAATTGATAAATGCTGAGTATTGTGATAGGCTTAACTAACACATTAGGGGAGGTAACTAAGTATGGTGTTTTCGAGTTTTTAAGAAATAGGTATATATTAGTACATTGTCAGCATACATACATACACATATATATATATATGTGTGTGTATATATATATATACACACACACACACACGTGTATATGTACATTAGGGTCGGTCGATTTTGGAACTGTTAAAAGAATAACTTGAAAGTTGCAAAATAACGTCAAATTACCACAAAAAATATTTTTCTTCAAAACTTCCTATTTGAGGAATCAAACTTAAAGACAAAATAAATTGCAATTTTTATCATCATATCGGTGTCACTGGAAACGTGTGTAGGTTAAATTAAAATCGAGTCTTAATGAAAAGAAAAAAAGAAAATAATGCTTAATAATGGATATTTTTGAGTTTATTATCTATTCTCTTAATAAATTAAATGAAATTGCCAAAAATAAAAAACAATAAAACACATTCAAATATTTAGTTTAAAATACAAATAACTACTCATGAATGGCGTCTTTTTACTGGATATTTTTTCAGTATTTACCGGTAGTAATTACCTCCTCTTGTAAGTTCGTTTTATTTTTGTTTACTGTTTATGCTTTTAACTAGCACAAATATCTATTGTATTTTTCATCAAAATATACTTAACTATTTAAAAAAATACAACTTTTATAATTGTTGTAATTTGTTTATATTTTCAAAATTAGTGTGTTTTATTAAAAGCCTGTTCACAAGCTAATCCCGGAACTAACTCTATTTTTAGGTAAATAAACATTACTTTTTTAATTTAATAATGCATTTCAAACTTTATTTTCGAATTTATTTTGAAAAATATTTTCGTGTAATTTTTGATAATACATATATTTTCTTTGTCACATATTTTAATAAAAATGCCAGGAAAAAGCATACCAAAGAGCCTTATCAAAATTCCACAATATGTTGTTGAGTTGATCAGGGATGATGTATCTTCCAATCTTGGAGCCAATGCATTGCTCTTGGGTTTGAGGTCTATGGGCCTTCTTATCCCCCATATTAATATAAAAAGATATTTATATAGATAAATGTAAAATTGATAGAGCAAAGGTTAAAGTGAAAACAAATGCCCATCAACAGCATGATGAGATGGTAGAAAATCTTTGTATTGGATTTGATGGGAAACTGACAGACCAATGTACAAAGAAATAGTGGAGGAAACTGGAGAAGATAAAAAAAAAACCCAGAAATTTGATGTCAACAAATGTGAAAGTGAATAAAAAACATAGGGTTCTTCTAATATTTGCAACATTGCTCTATTATTTGAGCAACATTTGATGTTTTGTATTTTTGTTATCAAGCAATATCAAGGCTATCCTTGTTGACAAACACTAATGCCAATTCAGGCTGTGAAGGTGGATTTGCTGCACCTCTAGAAAGAAAACTTAACAGAAATCTTCATACTATTGGTTGCTCCTTGCATACAAAATAAACTTCCATTTAGAGCTCTTTTTAAACATGTAGATGGTACCACAAAAAAATTTAACCACATTCAATGGTCCACTTGGAACATTACGTGCAAATGATTACCATAATTTAATTTAAATATCATTTTCAGCTGTTGGCAGTCCTCTGGATTCTTTTTAAAATTGAAAATGCAGATACCCTTAGTTGTGACCAAAGACTCCTTTATGAATATACAGTGGGTATTTGTAGTGGTAAAAGGTGGATTTCTAGATTTGCATCATGGAAAATTGGTCCATTAAAACCAGGCAAGGTGGTTTCTTTAGGCATCAGTCTGATGTGCTTATGGACTCATTTGCATACCCACGAAATATTTCAACCAAACTCCACAGTTTAATAAATTTTATTGTGAATGTGTATGCCATTTGCTGGTTTGAAAATAAAAGAAATAACAAGTTCCACAATTGACAAATGTATATTTTCAATATGATCCAAAGGATTAGAAAACAACCATATGAAATCCACATTGAAAAATATACAATACAATGCTTTTGCCTTACTGTCTGAAAATATCTTATATTCAATGGTCAAATCTGATGAACTGGAAGTAAGAGAAGCTATAAAAAGAATTTTAGCCTTTAGGTTAGTAAATATTTATTCATATAAAACTGACTAAATTAGTTATGCCAATTTATGGAATCATTTTAAGGATTTTATCTAATTTCACCATAAATATTAAAGCAGTACAGAGTGCATTTTTTTAAAAAATAAATCAAATTACTTTTTATATTCGTTCAAGAGTGGGCAGCAAATCAAGAAAAAAATTAAAAAGAATCACAACTATCAATTTTAAAGTTATGCACTGGACACAGTTAATAGATCTGTCATTAAGTGATTTTTGTAAACCATCACTCACAGAAGAATTTTCTGAAAGTAAACTTTGGGAATAATTATTAAATGGTACAAAGCTTGACTTACGAGATTTGCCCTCACATTCTCAAAGGCATGGAATGGGCAGTCAAATTAACAACAGAAACTTCCCAATCTGTGTATAAAAAATTTAAAAACAAGGCACCAGTACATAAAAATCAAAGCTTTTTGTCAGAAATTAAGACCATCAATTTCATCTGAGGGTTCTTA